CGGTGCCGGCGGCCGGAGCCGAGCAGCGGCCCGGGGTCTTCATGATGGCGGTGCTCCTGGGCCCGGGCGGGCCTGCTCGGCTGTCTGCAGCCGGGGCTGGTGCGGGACGTGGAGGGGCGAGCGGAGCAGAGGAGCCGGTCAGGGGCTGCCGCGTATCCCTGCTCAGAGGCCGTGAGATCTGAAGCTGAGGCTGGAGGAGCCGGGAGCTGGGGGCGTCCGGGACACAAAGGGCCCCGCTGGCGGCCGTGGGCCAGGAGGCTGGGGAGCCGCGATTCTCGGGGAGCCGTGGATTGGAAAAGCCCCTCTCCTGCTCTCCCCTGTGGGAAGACCGAGAGCCCAGCCACTCCGCTTCCCGTTGCTTTCCGACAGCCGCATCTGTTTGTCAGCTTTGCCCACCTGAGTGTGAAACGATGTTCTAACAAAACATGGGTCTCAGCATTTCACTCCCTGCCTCTGACACGCCAGCCCCCGCGGACGGTGCCTGCTGCCTCCCGCTTCTCTGCTGCGGCGGCGACGGCGGGCTGGGCGGCGGGGTGGCCGTGGAAGAGCGTGGTTGCCGCGGCTGAGTGGCAGGTGGCCCTGCATTTCCCTCGTCGGACGCTGCAGCCTTAAACTCAGGCTGTCTTTTTGTCATGGCGGCTCTCCCCACCGTGCCATTTCATTCTTGTGTGACATGGCGAGAGACCTGTGCTTACTGGTGATAGGCAGGCCATCGCGGGACCGGGGAAGCCTGGGCAGGGCCTTGCTGTTGCTTCTGCGGTGGAGCTGGGGATTTGGAAGCAACTGGAAGTGAGGAGCCTGTCTCTCATTTGCGTTTAGTGTGAAGCTGCCTTCCACCCTGTAGGCTGGTGGTCTGGGGCTGGTGTCAGGGGCTGCCGAGGGGGGGCAGGCCCCGCATGTGGCAGAGGAACAAAAGAGACAATGGGGCTCAGCCTGAACCTGCCTCCTTTGTCCGGAGGCCTGGGGCTGGTCTGACGTTCAGGGTGAGGGTTCAGGGTGAGGGTACCGGCAAATTCTTGCCACAGAATTTCTGTGCCACGATTGGAAGGTCACTGTTTGCTGGTCCAACTTTCCCTGTCTGCCCTGTGGTCTCGGCTTCTGCAGTTTCTTTTTAAAGATTTTATTTATTTTTAAGGAGTTTTAATATGCTATTCCTATTGCTGGATTTTTTAGTTATAGTACCTCTATTCCTACCACAGCTGTAGCGGGGTGACTTCAAAAGCAGACTGATAAGTTTGTATGTTAAAGTCTTGCTGAACCGTTTGAAGGCTGTGTGTGTTTGTTTTTTGAAAGTCAGATTTGCTGATGATGACTCTCAGGTAATGAGAGCTCTTTTAAAAGCCTGTTTTCTTAACAAGAGCGACAGGCTATATTGGGGGGTTAGGTCTTCAAAGTATAAAACAGAGCAGGCACAGCTTTCTTCTGGGGCCCTTTTCTCGCTGGCTGTGTGTACCCACCCTCCTTCCCTGAGCGTTAGTGGCTGACCTTCACGCAGATGGGCAGTGTGATCGCCTGCCTGGGTTGGCCGCGTCCTCCACAGCCCACCTCCGTAGTGGATTTGACCTGCTCGGACCCTCGTGGTTCCTAGTCTCTATGATGATAGGAGAGACCCTTCCCCCACCCCATCCTTTTGAGACTTTTCAGGCCCTGACATGTGACTTTGGCCAGGTAGTTGTGTGTGTGTTGCATTTGAAACAGAGGTTAGAAGTGATCATTTGCTTTATTTCCAAGGACTCAAGACCCTGGCATGCTGTGGTTTCCATAACGTCAAACCCCAATTTTAGAAAGAATAAATTAGCCAATCGAATTATTTGTTAGATTGAGAATAGAGAAAGGGGGCCGGGGAGTGGGAAGCACCTCGGCTACAACAACGCTACACATGTGACAGTAATTGGAATCTTGTTGCTGGGTCGTTTTCATTGTTTTTCAAGTACTGCCAAGTCCAAGAAAATGTATGAAAACTAAATCATGTCCCCCTACATCCCATGTCTATCGAACCCTCCTCATCGTGTGGCAGTCTCATACATCCTATTAAAATATTCAATCTTGTTTTCCTACTCGAAGAGCCTATCTGTAAAGGGCAAACTTACAGAAAACTCATTCCCAGGAGACGGGGCATCCAGCCACACTGGACCGTTTAAACATCTCACTACTTGACTGGCTGCTTCTAGGTTTCTCCCTCTCTGTATTGGTAAGAGCTGTGGGATGCATTTTTAATTACATGCCTGTGTTTTCCGTTGAACAGACAGACTGGGGTGTTTCCCAGCTCTCTAGTTCTTTTTTTAACCTTGAAAAGTTAACCAGTGTGTTAACCAATTTGTTTTGCTTGTCTTCTAGGACAGAGTTGTATCGATCTCTTTTTGGCCAACTCAACCCTCCTGACGAAGGCCACCGGGATTGACAGCGCCCGTCTCTCCTTCTGCAAGGCCATGAGGCAGGGTCTCCAAGGCGGCTCCTTGGCCGTGTTGGCTGCTCATCTAGCTCCAAGTGGAGGAGCCTATTGGCCTGTGGGGCTGAGCGAGTCAGGAAATCCCTGGGAAGGCGTGCTGCTCACAACACAGGCCTAACAAGTCCCAGGACGCCTGGAATCATGTGCCTCTGTCTCCAGTGCTTCGTGTGCAAAGGGCCCCTCCCCCATGTCCTTGAGCCACCACAAATAAAGAACCTTGTTACTGCCAGTGTGGTTTCTTGAGCAGCTGGGGTTAAGTCTGGTTTAGAGCTCCAGCAGGGTGATGGTGTGTCAGGAGGGTTTTCACTTTCTTTCCAGCCAAGCGGCCTCTTCAAACATAGAACTTACCAGAAGAAATCCTGGGGCGGATGCTGCTTTCTGGGTGGACAATGTTTAGCGATTGATCGTGGCTCTGAGGAGCAGGGAAGCCCCAAAACCTCTAAGTTATGCCCTGGAGACTTTATCACTTGGAGGTATTTGCTGATTTGTTGCTAAATACAAATCTCTGACTTGTTTTTTGTTTTTTTCCCCCCACCCATAAAGGTTCTCCCAGAGCCCTTTCCCTTCTCACGATCCCTAAATCACTTTATTGAGATCAGCTCTGGTGTAAATCTAGCAGGAGGAAATGATTCACTTGTTTTTCATCCAGAGGTCACAAGCTGGAAATTAAATCCCCATAAGGGGGATTTATTGGCCTGCTGTGGTCAATATGCAATGGAGATTATCTTGCATAAGTAATGCGTGCGGACTGACCCTCTCCTAGGTGCCTTGCCCAAATCTTTATTTAAAGCTGCAGAATTAGAGGAGAAATGTTGCATCCAGGCAACTGAGTGCAGTTGTTGTCAATAACTAGTAATTGTTTTTAAAGTCAGGTTTTCATATGGTTTTTAAATGTCAAAACCAAGTGACAAATTTTGGTGCCCGGAAATCCCACGTGTTTTTAACTCAGTATCTGGGTACTGAGCCCAAAGGCTGGGCTCCAAACAAACGCAGCCAGTCCCGAGTGTGATCTGCCTCCCAGGGCAGTGTCAGCATCAGCGGCTGCTGAGCTCAGGGTGGGGCGCGTGGAGGGAGGAGGGTTTTTCCATCTCACATTAATTGGCCCCTGGAACGCGGTGATTTGTTTTTCTTGTCTCAGTAGTTACCTCTTGGGTTTGACTGTCAGGGAAATGTTTAATTTTCAGTGAGTCTCCAGTTACCCAGAAGATCAATCAGGAGAAATAGGAGAGTTCCCCCACACCCACTCTCTTCAAAATGATCACTTTTAAAAATATAGGCCATGCGGGCCTGGCCGCCTAGCCTGAGGATCCGGGGAATTCACGTTGGAACAGCCGGGAAGCAGCCTCCTCATCGCGGACTTCAGTGAGCTTCATGCTATAACCCACGTGTCCTTAAAAGATAGAACCTTCGTCATAGTCAGTCTTTATTGGTGAAGAAAAAGATTTAAACGGGTCCTTCAAAATATTTGGAGTCCAACCTGTTTAATTAAAATGAATGAAAGCCAGGAGAGATGAGAAAGAACGGACAGCATTTTCAGTAAAGGGAGGCTTGCATTTTAAAATTCAGGAGACCACCCTCCTTCCAGCCAAGAATAAATTGGAAACTATTTTAATTGACACGGATACTGCAATTCAACTGTTACTAGAAAGACAGATTAGTTGATTGATTTGCATTTTAATAAAACTAATACTTCACATTTTGGTAGCGAATGCTGATTTTTAAATGAGTTGAGAACTGTTATCAGGAGTTTCAATCCAGAGCCCTTTCTCAGTGTTGACTGAAGCATTCCTCTCTTTTGTGTGGAGTTTGCTGATTTTCTCTTTGCCCAGCTGACTACTTCACGCACGACACTCAGAAACCGCAGACCTTGAAGTGCTCCCAGTACAGGGAGGCGGCCAGCTGGCCACAGTGGACACAGGCGGTGCCCGCCCAGCCCAGCGTCGTACCCGGGACAGGAGCCGGGAGCAGCACTGGGCCTCTCCCTTCAGGATAGAGAAGATGAGGCTGGTTTCTTGTCCTCGCTTATTTTAGGTTAGAAATTAATTACAGGGGCTACCTGTTTGGGACCCCCTCGCTGTGGGGGGAGGTTTTGTCGCTCCTCTCCCTCAATAAACTTTTGCTTTCCCTTAAAAATAATAATAATAATCACAGGCCCTGGCCAGCGTTGCTCAGTGGTTAGAGCGTCGGCCCGCGCACCGAAGGGTCACAGGCCCGATTCCTGGTCAAGGGCATGTACCCGAGTTACAGGTTCGATCCTGAGCCTGGGTCGGGGTGCGTGCAGGAGGCAACCAACTGATGTGTCTCACGTCGATGTTTCCCTCCCACTCTCAAAATCAATGGAAAAAATGTCCGCGAGTGAGGATTAACAACAACAAAAAATTAATTACAGAAAAGTGGAATAAAAATAAGGTTGGGCTGCAGCCAACCACCCAGATGCGCCCACTTCTCGCGTCTAACACTGAGGGCCTCACAGCCCTCTTCCCTGCGCGGGCGCCGTCCCCAGGCAGCCCCTCTCCCCCGAGCCTGGGGGGTGACGACTTGGTTTTACTTTTGGACGATTCGAAATTTTTTTCTTACCCTTTAAAAATAAAAAACACACCCATCCAGCCATGCCTACTAGAGTACAGTAAAAGATTTTTTCCATGTCTTTGCAGATATCACTTAAGTATTTTATTGCTATCTAGTAATTCCATTTGGGGCATGTGTCTTCAGTACTTAACCAAATCCCCTGTCGTTGAGCATGCAAATTGTTCATTATTTGCTATTATGAATAATGTTACAGGGAAATATTTGGGCATAAAGCTTGTTTATTGTATTTTAAAATTACTGCTTTTCTTGGCATATATTTTTAGGAGTAAAGTGAACCAAGTGAAAGAATCCGAACATTTTGAAGGCTCTGGGAACGCGTCACGGAGGCTTGTCTCAGGGCCCCTGCTCACTTCTCACTTGCCTCGGGCGGGGCTGAGAGGCAGACTGGAGATTGGCCCTGGAATCTGATCCTGGGATTTATTTCTTGCTCCCCAGGGAACCCTTCAAATCAGCAGCCTCCTCTGGGAGGATTAAAGAGCTACCGCCTGTAATGTGCTTTGAGATGCTCCCATGAAGGACGGTGGATAAACAGAAAGTGACACCAGCATCTCCCGCCCCAGGCCCCTCTTTTTTCCTGGCTGCTAGATCCCATCAGGTTGCTCTCTGCTCTCCCCTCTGGTTTTCACGCTCCTGGGATCTCTCCGGTGGGCTTCCCTCGCCTTGGGTGGGTTTGCCTTTCTCCCAGCGGCTGTGCTGTTTTGGTGCGTAGCCATTCCCTCCAGCGCCACATCCAAGACTGAGTATTGCGCGTCACTGGGAAACCCTGGGAGCCAACAGAACCAGGGAAGGCCACCTCCTGCCCCAGCAGCGGACTCTGCGTCCATCTCCTGCTGAGGAAAGTAGGCGGAGGTTGGGTTTCCCGGTCTCCAGCGCTCCGCTGAGACCTCTCCGAGGCGACTGCCTCTACTCTTTTATTCCAGAGGAGCTGAGTCTGAGGCTCGGAATGAACCCAAATGCGACATTGTCATAAACCTTGGAACCATGTCCCAGGACATAGCAGCCACTCTGTATGTGGAATGTGTTGATCCATGTCTGCCTGGGCTGGACTCTCAAATGAGGCGGCCACATGTCTCAGCAAAACTGCAGCCGGTGCGGTGGAGGGTGTCCTGGCAGAGCCCGAGGCCGCGGGGGCGGAGGTGTGCGTGTTCCAAGCCAGGGCGGCCACCCTGCTGCTGACACCCTGAGAGTCCCTGTGTACTTGCGTTTAATGAAGACAAGTACAAGCAGTGAGCCTTGTCTAAAGCGAATGAGCCTTGTTTTCTGCATCTGAGTTTGTGTTTTTACTTTTTAAATTTATGTGTGTGCCTGTGGATCGGGGGCAGCTGTGCTAGGAATCACACTGAGCCTGCCTTAGCCATTCTTTTAAGCTTATCTACCCCATTTTCTTTCCATCTTTTTTTTTTAATTTCTCTTCATAACATTTCAAAAACAATTGCCAGTAATTTGGTAAGTTCATTAATGAATTCTCCTTTAAGCCCGGGGACCCGTATCGCCCAGCGGGAGTGTACACCTTCGCTTGGTCCCGCAGCTCCCTCGAGGCCGTCACCGCCCCGTCTGCGGAGAGGGCGGGAAATGCAGGGGCCGCCTGGCTTTCGTTTCTCTGCAGATTCCTTTCCCGTGCCTTTCCTGCCCACGGTGCGGGGCCTGCCAACAGGTCATTGCCTCGGCAGCATTTCTATTCCTGGGAAGTTTGCTTGGTTTATTTCCCCTGGTTGAGGGTTCTCAGTTCATTTGTTGAGGTCAAGGACGCCGAATTCTCAGGAAAGAAAATTTAAAAGAGCGGTAAAGAAAAAAAAGCAATCCCACTCCCCTGATAGGGCAGGAAAAGAACATAAGGCCCCCAACAGACACTGTAACAGTGACGCATAAAGGTTCCTGCCCGCCCTCCTCCCACCCCGTCCCCTTTCTGGCTCGGGTGGAAATGAGCGTGGTCTGCTCTGGGCCCCCAGGCCGACCCGGGCAGGCTGCTGCCTCCTCCCCACGGGCGGTCCCAAGGGAGGGAGGGGCTGTATTTATTTAGGGGCCTTACCCGGCTCTAACAGACCTGGGGGCTCGTAGCTAGTTTTGGAATGGGCGTATGGTGCTCTGAGTAAAGAACAGATACGAATGAAAGGTGTACAAATGGCAGACCATGGAGAAACCTGGTCTAGAAATCAAACCTGCTAGGATGTGACCTTGAGGAAGTCTTCTGACCTTTGACCTCAGGGTCCTCACAATAAAATTAGGGTCAACTAAGCTGGTTTCTGAGGACCTTCCTGCTCTAAAGCAGCTGCTTGCAAGTAAAGGCAGTGTGGTAGACTGGGGTATGGCACAGGAGCAGGAATGTTTTTCACACTCATTCATTCAGGTATTTACTGACGTCCTACTGTGTGCCAGACTTCGCAAAGGGCTACACTGGCAGGTAACACAGTCTCTGGGTGGGTCTCTGTTCTTTTCTGTAGAGCTCTAACTTGGGTCTGATCAAACCCATTACACCCCCTGGAGTTATCTCTATTAATCCCACCTGGTACCCCCGGAAACCCCGCCTCCGAGCCCCTTCCAAGCTTGGCATCACTCCCAAGGTTCTGGTTCTCCAAGGCGAGAGGTCAGCCTGGCCAGAAGGGGGAGCCTGGTGCTCTTGGGCTCTTCCTCCTGGGGCTC